ACTTTGCGTAATGGGTTGAGCCACCCCTGCCCTCAATGTAAATGTAAAATAAATGAAAGTGGGGAGGCAGAAGTAAATTTATTTATCGTGTCATCAGCAACCAGACATTTGTATTACATTTTTAACAAAAAACAAACAAACAGACAGACAAAACACAGAATTTACAAGGTAGAAGTAAATAAAAGGAAACCAGTAGTTCACAGATAACTCTGTCACTGAAATTGTCAGATTCATTTTATGAATGAAATCTAAGGCTTAGCATTATTCTGTAATGGGTCAATTTGTGAACTTTAAGGAAGCCAAACATCGGGGAAGCTTGTTCCAAGTGGACTTTCACCTCTTAGCTATAGAGTAGACACTTTGTTCTTCTATTTTCTGCAACATTTTGCTAATCTTTTTGGCCTCAGCAGGGACTATTCCCTCCCCTCTCCCCCCAAATACACACGCACTAAAGTCTTATTAAAGTCTCATAATGTGATTGATGCTGTCATCACCTTTTTTCACAAGTCTATCCTCAAATGATGTTATCAATCCTAAATGACATTATTCTTGCCACATTTTGTGAAAGATTCAAATTAGTTCCATTTAATCTAAGTAAATGAAGTATTCTCTTTGTGTAAAATGTAACTAAAATGTTGAGCTATCTTTAAAGACAACATAATTTTGCCATAATCTAATTTAAATTATATGGCACTCATTCTAGAGAGGTTAGCTGTGAGAATACAGATCATTAATTTTCTTCTTCATCATGGCTATGAATATTGAATTCTGATTGATTTGATTTGGTAAATTCAATTCAGATAGAAGTTTTATAATTAACTATGCATGTCCATCACTTTAGCTTTTCACCAGAATGCCCAATATAGTCACAAGAAGACAAGCAGGAGAGTCTTTTCTCTGATTTACTTTCACCAGTTCATGGTGAAAGTAAATCTTGATCATAAATCATAATTTGATATACAGAACTTGATAACTAGGAAAAACAGAAAGCCCAGTATAGTCATAAAGAGATAACCAGAAGAACCTCATTCTTGTGTTACTTTCACCGGTTTATTGTTACATCCACAGTAGGGGGAAGCAAAATAATCAATGTTTAAATGAAACTATATTTTTATTAAGTCAGGATCATAAACTATGGTTTGATCCTACCTAATTCCAACAAATCATATTTACCTTCTGTAACAAGTAGGATTTCTGATCACTTCTCCATGACTATGCATGAGAAGAAAGCAAAATATGATTCTAATCAATAATTCTTTAACTCAGTCATATAGTATTCATGAAAAAAAAACAGTGATACTCAGTGGTATATGATTTTTACTGCTCATTTACATTTGTAAAATATGTCTGAATGTTACAGGAAGCAAAGAAAGAGGAAGCACAAGTGGCATTTGAGCTGGAATCCTACTAGATCAACTAGTAGGATTTGCACTAAGTCCTTGTATACACTTATCTATTTAATCCCAGGTAAATTGCTTAGGAGTTGCAACCAGGGAGTGTCTCCAATGCTATCCAGAAGGCCAGCCAGCCAGAGGGTAAATTTAGGTTGCTGCTGCAGTACCACAACCACAAGCAACTCTCTAAGAGAGGCTTGCTGATGGCAGCATATTTTCTTAACACATAGTTGAGCACTCTGGTTTGATTCACCAGAAGCACTATCATGAGCAAACCTCTGCCAGGGAGCTTCTTGTAGCTGATAATGTGATGGTGCTGGGTCCGTTGGACACATGGAGTGGATTGGACCAGATCCAGCCTGGTCAAACAATTCACAGCTCCAAAACTCCAGGATCTCTCTAGAGCTTCCAAGAAGATCTGGAGTCAATCCTATTTTCCCTCAATGTTGCTGGACGCAACATAAAATACTTCTCCTGTGCATCCAGCTGTGTGTCCTCTAGATTTCCCACAGCAGCTCATAGAAAATCTACATTCTTTGGCTTAGATCAATATGGCATAAGCTAGAAGGTATATGGTCCTGGTCCTTGTATGTATTTCTCTGCTTTTCAGTGTAACAGCCTTGTACACAGTTACCAGCATTCTGTATTTATACAACACCATATTATGGATAGCTGTCACCATCCAAGCTTCACGATTTCCCCTTGTGTTTTAGATTTATTAAGCACGAGTGCACATTTGAGATCAAGCCACGACTAATCTTTTAAAGTAATCTATCTCACAATCTTTCTTAGGAACACACAAAGATCAGAGTTCAACAAATTCAACATTCTGCCCATGAATCTCAAATAGTAATCCATCAGTAAACTACTGCCTACCCTCTGTTCATCCCTTATTTAGTTTTTCACCCATCATTTCCAGTTATATTTGGCAAGTGATGAGGCCTGCAAGTTCATCCCTTCATTTTATAGATGACAGCCTCATTAGTGGCTTCATTAGAATTAGCATGTCACACTTACAAATGCAATTACTTTCTGAAAGCTAGATAGTTTAGAGGAGCTTTAATATACCAAAGTATTGTTTTAATAATTTAGAGGAAGCAAAAGACAGAAGTCGATGGTTCCAAAGTCTTTATGTTGTTATTGGCTAAAAGATTTGGGACATTCAGCCCTTGCTGTTAATTCTTTCACTTATAGAAAGCCTTTTAAAAATATGTGAAATATTCTTCAATTGGTACTCCATACATAACGTGTATTGTCATTTTTCTTTACTTTCATCAATACTTCAGTGTTTTACTTCTAAATGTGGTATTATTCTTTACTTTAAAAATGCTGCCATCAAGTGGTAATTTGTATATATAAAATATAACTTGTGTTTTATAATTTCTTCTAGAATCATGAGTAAAATGTATACAAAGCTTTGTGGTTGAAATATCAATCAAAATTTTTTGCTGGAGTTTTAGGACCCAGTCTGTTCACTTGCTTCCACTTGTAAGGGATATATTTCTAAGATAAATCAGTACTGGGGATATATCCAGCAGAAATTTAAAAAATAAGATCCGAATCAGGCATGGAGGAAGAGGGAATGAGGATGAGAACCTGGAAAGAGAACATTATAAGAAATCTGATTCCTATCTAAAAGATTGATTTTTAAAATATTAATCAATTACAACTGCACATTGATATTTAATCTTTAAACTGAACACATCTGTGAATTGGGGTCACCAGGTAACTTTTATTATTAGAGATTGTCACTTTATATTTGTGACTGCCAGTCAGTTGACCAAATTCAGTCTGAGACTACCCTTAAGGAGCCCATAAAACTGCCTATATTTTATGCTTATAGGTGGCACTTCTTCCACAAACCATATTCAGAAATCTGCAAAAAAAAAAAAAAAAAGAAACCCTGGACATTTTAGACTTATTAAAGAGTTATTTTCTTAATAAATATGTTTGTTGGCAAATATCTTTCTCAGAGATTGAACACATAGGTAAGTAAGTAAGCACAACTCTTGATTTTCTGACATGATTGAGCACAGCAACAGTGCTTGGGTTTCCTCCAGTGCTAAACATCATACTTTGCTCATTTGGGCAGGATTTAAACAGGTAGATTTGAAACTGTAGTAATTTATCGCTATATTACCTAGATGGCACCTTGTATGAGTTATGTGGCTAGGCGGGCTTTGGTGGTGCTTGAAGCAGATGTTGAAGCCAGCAACATGAATAATTTATAATTCCTGAGAGCAGATCGTGTAGCAAACATCTGCAGGCAAAGCTGAGAAGGAAAACTGGAAACACTTGAGAGTTGAATCAGATATTTCCTGGTAAAACAGGCTATGATGGAGTCACAAGCATGCAGATCTGACATACTCTCAGCTTTCAAACAATGTTTTGTTAATATTAATTTCCTCCCCTAGTGACTCCTTCATAATAGTGCTATATGCATTATCATGAGATGCAGTTTGAAACTGGCAATTTCTTTTTAGTGACTTAACATAGCTGTCTCTAATGTCATTTTCTGACTTTGAACATGTTCATTTTAGTTTTTATGTTGTTAGTTTCACTGAACCAAACACACTTAACTTTCTAGACTCTCTCCTAAGAATTTCTGACCTAATCACCCATCTTTAGAATTTATGGGTTCAGTTCTTTTTCATTTGTCTTCAGCGGTAACCCTAAATTCTCCTTTTACCAAAATTCAGAAGCAGCTCTAGTATGTCATTGTCAACTATTGTCAACTGAACTTCCACTTCCCTTCCCTTCCTTAGAAACTTGCAGCCTTCTTCTAATTTCTTGATTAGACTGATGACTACCGCAAAGTATAGGAAGTCTTTGACTACCTCACTATCTCATTGTCTGCTTTAAAGTTACATAAAAATCCCTAGCCATTAGTTTTGTTTTCTTAATATTCAGTAGTGATCCTGCCTTTGAACTTTCTTCCTTGCCTTTTTTCAGTAGTTGCTCCAAATCTTTGCTATTTTCTAGTAATATAATGTTATCTGCATATCTTATTGTCAGTGTTCTTCCCTCCAATTCCCATGCCTCCTTCCTCAGAGACTAATCTAGCTTTACCTATCATATGTTCAACATACAAGATCAGCATCCAGCTAGAGGTATACTATGTCCAGCATACAAAAGTAGGTCTAGAACCTTCTTTTACATTATCTTTCTTCTAGAAAGTTAGTATGCCATCCACTATGTCTCACAAATTGCTTGACTCTGCAGTTGGATTGAGGTTGACTAATCCTAATTTTCACTAAACATAAAATGTTACTTTTTGTTATATTTTTGGGAAAGGTGAATGCAGCTTACCTTATTAGCTCAGCCATTTCTGAATCAGAGGAATCATTATATCAAACCTTGATATATATAAGTGGTATGCAGAGTCATTGAAGCAAGAAAGTTCAGGATATGTTTCTAAACTAAATGAAAAATGGGACATTTTTAAATAATCTGAATTCTACAGTGACAAAGTTTGTAAAATAAATTTTTTGTTGGATACAATTCTATTCTTATTGCTGTTTAAAAATACACACATTCAACTATATTGAAATTCAAACGATTATTGTATTTACTAAACAAATCTAATGCTGCTTTTTTGTCTGCAAGGGCTGCTTTGTTGGATTTGATCTGGCTCATGCAGTTGGCAATGTGGAACTACATTTACATGACTGGGAAATAGACTTTGCTTGCTGGTGCTCCTATAAGGTAAGAAAAGTCCTAGGTCTTACCTTATATACTCATAGAACTCATCAGATAACCTCATGTATCAGTCGAGGAGAGGTATTGGGGACCAAAACTATGCATTTTGGCATCACCTATGGATAATTTGAGGGTCATTTTGCAGAAAAGGAAAGCACCGCTGCTTCTTTGGGGGCCAGCCACCCCTGTCTGCTGCTACCATTTCCCAACCCAGGCATTTAATAAGGCCAAAAACAGCACATGACAGAAAAAGTACAGAGGGCCTGTGCTACTTTCAAGATCTCCCTGGATCGACTACTTTCTTGGCTTTTGCCACTCAGAGAAGATAATGATTTCTTTTTTAGATAATAGTTATGGTACAGCACTCACATTGACCCATGAATAAGTCAACCCAGGTTTTTTGAATTGATGTTTAGACTAACATTTATAGACTTTTACATGCATATATAGAGTATTTTCATTTGGTGATAAAAAGGCTCCAAGTCAACTAGAACAGCTGATTAACAGTTTGACAGTTCATTATTTATATTACGCAAAGCAGTTTGTATTGTGTTATGGTTTGGGGATTGGACAAGGATGATGGAAGACCATGATTTAATCTCCTGATTATACATGGAAACTCATTGGGTGGCCATGGACAGGTCAAACTCTCACAGCCTGAGAGGAAAGCAATGGTAGCTCTCTTTGGAATAAATATTGCTGAGAAATCCCTAGGATAAGGTTGCCATAAGTCATAACTGACTTTTGTGCACATAACAACAGTGTGATAACAGTAAATGAAAACTAGTCTTCAAAAAAATACTTACGAAAGTTGAAATTTTTGCAAGTTTCTGGGGAAAGGAAGTTCCAGGAATATGGAACAGCAACTGAAGAAACTACTTAACAACCTCTTAACCAATATTGCAAGAGGCTTTGCAGTTTTAGAGAGAAAGCTATTTTCAGGAAAGTCTGTCTTCCTGGTTCACATTCATATTACACTTATATCAAAGACTTTGTAAAGAGAAGGAGGTCACTTTAACTCTTATGTGTGTCATAAAACGAAGCAGATATTTTAATGCTGACTTCTACCTTTCAGTACTTGAATTCTGGAGCAGGAGGTCTGGCTGGTGCTTACATTCACAGGAAACATTTCCAGAGTGTGAAACCAACGTAAGTATATTAAGGATGAAAGAGCTATCCTATAGGCCTGTGCGGTTTCGTTCGTTAATTCGTTAATTCGTTAAACATTCGTTAATTTTCGCATATACGAAACGACAACAAAACATATTTTCAAACCCGGAAGGGTTTTTAAATATCGAAACGGCAACCCCCACAGTTTTAACGAGCTTTCGCCCGTTTCGTAAATGGGGTGGGCGGGCGGGGCGAAGGGGCGGCGCGAGCGCGCACCCAGTGAGCCAAGCCCCGACCCTGCCTGTTGGGCGCGAGCGCAACCGGCTCCCGATTGACTAACTGCCCGATTCACAGAATGGTATTATACGTACACTCATAGGCGCATGGAGACAGAGCCGGCGCTGCAGGAATCCCCTCCCCGGCTCCTGCGCTCCGGCTCCGGCTCCTGCGCCCTCCTCCTCCTCCTCCTCCTCCTCCTGGCACTTCCTGCAACACAGCTGCAGAGGCCGGTTGTCTCTTTAAGGCGCCTCTCTCCCAGCTGTGTTGCTGGGAGAGAGAGGCGCCTTAAAGAGACAACCGGCCTCCGCAGCTGTGTTGCAGGAAGTGCCAGGAGGAGGAGGAGGAGGAGGAGGAGGGCGCAGGAGCCGGAGCCGGAGCGCAGGAGCCGGAGCGCAGGAGCCGGGGAGGGGATTCCTGCAGCGCCGGCTCTGTCTCCATGCGCGTACGTATAATACCATTCTGTGAATCGGGCAGTTAGTCAGACCCATCTCTTGACTAACTGCCCGATTCACAGAATGGTATTATACGTACACTCATAGGCGCATGGAGACAGAGCCGGCGCTGCAGGAATCCCCTCCCCGGCTCCTGCGCTCCGGCTCCGGCTCCTGCGCCCTCCTCCTCCTCCTCCTCCTCCTGGCACTTCCTGCAACACAGCTGCGGAGGCCGGTTGTCTCTTTAAGGCGCCTCTCTCTCCCAGCAACACAGCTGGGAGAGAGAGGCACCTTAAAGAGACAACCGGCCTCCGCAGCTGTGTTGCAGGAAGTGCCAGGAGGAGGAGGAGGAGGAGGAGGAGGAGGGCGCAGGAGCCGGAGCCGGAGCGCAGGAGCCGGGGAGGGGATTCCTGCAGCGCCGGCTCTGTCTCCATGCGCCTATGACAGTGTACGTATAATACCATTCTGTGAATCGGGCAGTTAGTCAGACCCATCTCTTCTGATGACAAATGTCACACCTATCACATAGGAGTCCTTCCCATGTAAGCAACATCTGACCGAATTCATTCTTCTATACAACTGGGAAAGATACAGGAGTTCTGCTCCTAATAAAGATGGGAATAATATGTGAAAATATTCTAAAATGCAAAAGAATGTTTACTATCAAGTAACCCTGATGAAATGAATCCTGGATTGATAAGAAACTTTGCAGTTATACCCTTAACGGATCGACCCCGCGCCAATAACGAAGCTTGTTTTACGCATGCGCGGGGGTCCGCCATCTTTACAAAATGTTTTGTAAATATTTACGAAATTTCGTAAATACCAAAACTTTTTTTGGAAAATTTTGTAATTATTTTAAATATCGAAACAAAAAAACACCCCAATTACAAATCGATTTTAGAAACAAATTTTTTCTTGATCAAACAGGCCTACTATCCTACTATTGAAAAAAATAGCATTATCTCTCTGTTTGTGTGATCATTCAGTTTAAATGAAAACTAAACAGTCTGACTGCTTTGTAGTTTGCTTGATTTTTTATTGTTTTTTTGATAAGAGGGACAATGTTTGTTGGTTTTCACTCCTCTGGCACATCAATCGTTCACCAAGATTTCTCAGAAATTATAACAAGTGATTCTGGAAGTACATGAACAAGTTTCTTTAATACTCTGAGGTGCAGTTTATATGTCCCTGTAGATTTGAACTCATGTAACTGGTTGAATCCTGAATCACTCCCTATTGATCCTGATTTGCTACCTGGAAACTTAACTGGATTAAACTCACCACCTCATCACACAGGCTGATTTGCCTGTTGTATGCTGCATTCCTCCTCCCCCCCCACCCCACCCCTTTCGTCACAGAGCCCAATAGATGACGCATAAGTACTTCTGGCAGGGCTCTGTGCTGAAAGAGAAGACAAAGCGGCACATCACCACCACTGCAGCAACAAGGGAGCATTCCCATTTTGCTTTACCAGCAATGGAGGGAAGTGGGGTGGTGATGTTTCCCCACCTCCTTGGCATAAGGTGTAAGTCAATTTGTGTGATGCAGGGCTTGGAACGACGGGTTCTCCATGCCCTCCACCAGGAGCCCATGGATTCGCCACAATGTGGAGCAAATCCATGGACCTTTATGATAAGGTATTTTGGGGGAAAACTGAAGGTATTGTATAGGTGTTGAACAGTTCTGCTTTTTCATTGTGATCTGTTATCATTTTACCATCCTAGAGTGGCAGTCGTACCATGTTCTTTATCATTCCCTTGCGAGAAAAGACAAATAGCGTACACACATTGCAGCAGACAGTAGCAGAGCTTTATTTCTCCATTCCATTATATTTTTTACCCTTTTCACAGTGTAACAATTCTTACTAATATGACTGCATACACCACAACTCATGTGGCCCTCAGAGATTGACCTTGAAAGACTCAGGAAGCAGTTATATAGAACTAATGCTCGCTATCTCTGCCTCCAAGCAAACCAGTGGCTCAACTCCTGTCTCCTTAGTGTGCTCAGGGAGAGCACACAGCCAAAAATAAAAAGCACCTTCACAAGACTTAAAAAACACAGAGAGACAGATAAGATGACCACAAAATATACAGCACCTTCTGCTCTCTTCTCCGAGTCATCATGATTTTGAATATTATCTGTTGCCTTAACTAATCAGCCCTTGTTTTTCTGAAAGTGTAGCATTAATGGAAAGAATGCCAGAACTGCATTTAGACCTCCTGTGATACTACTACAAATTAGGTTTAGAAACACAAGCTTCAACTGAATGTGACAGATAAAAGGATGGTTTTATTGTGGGAAAGAGAGTCTTGCTACTCTTCCCAGGCTTGAAAGTGTCAGGCAATGGGAAAAGAGGACTGGATCATGCAGTGTGGGAAAAGAATCAAAATGTTTCCTTTTGCAACCCACATGCTATGCAGCCGGTTTTTAGGATTGTGAAGAAGTGAAGAAGTAAGCTCCAAGTGAAGAATTAGGAAAAATACTGCATTTCGTCCATTGTAAGGCTCCATTGATTGTAAAATGCACCCTAATTTCACCAATAAAAATACATAAGATACACCTGGGATTCTAAGATGCACTCCATTTTTAGAGATGTTTATATAAGGGAAAACTGAGTCTTAGAACGGAAGAAATACAGTAACTATAGCTAGCCTTGTGACTTATTTCACATTCATCAAGAGAATGGGATCTAATAGGGAAGAACATTGTCCCCCAAAGCAGTGCTTAATAAGTGAAAATATAAAAATATGGACATGTTCATAAATATGGCCTATAATGGGAAATGGGTTTTGTGACATTTGAAAATGCATAATATGGCAAGTATAAAGGGAAGTGGGCATTGTGGTGTTAGAAATAGTTTCACAGAGATGAATCAGCATGTGACCAAGATGCTTATCAGAATGCATAATTTCTGGATTTGGTATTTGGGAAGAGCATCATACTTCCCCATAGGCAAAACATTGTGGCTCAATTGCTAGAAAATAATAGCAGGGCATCCTGGTGGGAAGATAAGTGGATGATAAGAAACAGATGTACATTTCTCCTAACCCTCTCCCCCTTCTTCCAAGATTGGGCATAAGGGTGATCCCTAGATATTATAATTTATAGGGGGGTTCGGCCTATAGAGATACTGATATTAGATAAATCTCCTTTTTATATAAAAATTTAAAAAGATATATTTTAAGCAGCCTTTAGATGTCTTGCATTAGGGAATAGAATCAAAGGGAAATCTGTCACTAATCGTCCTTTAATAGTGGCATATTTTCATTAAAATTATATTGGGATATAAAGCTAGGAAGCATTAAGAAAAAGATCTGTATTATCAAAGTCTTTAATATCTATGAAAATGAGAAGGTATTTGATGGTAGGTTTGCTGTATAAACCATTTTTGAGTAGTTATCACATACTTTAAGAATAGTAGCATGATTATATATTTAAGATATTTTAATACATTAAAATACATTTCCATTGCCAATGCTTTAAGAAAGCTCTGGGAGTTATTTTGATGATAGCTAGAATAAGAGAAACTAAAATTGAGTTTTGGAGGGAGAAAAGAAGATAATGATACAAACACTATTGCATTAATGCCTTGTCTGGCCAGACAGATAATAATATTATTCACAACAGTCTAGACAAAATAACTCTGATTAATTCTTAGACTCATTTTGTCTGCTTAGAATTGAAAAGTCATCCAGAAACTTGACAACAATTTATAAGCTGAATTTCACAAATTCTGATTTGCTTGAGATAAATGTATTCTCGTGCTCCTTCAAACACTTCCCTTTGATTTTCACAGACTTGTCTATTTTACCTGTCTTAGCCTACACGGTGACACGTGTCTGAGATAATATGCAGACTACCTTATGGAATGAACACAGTTATATACTGCAGTTATATTTCTGAAAACTCACAGGCATTTCATTCCCCCACAACGTCTGTCATATGCCTTAAAGGGAGATATACTCTGTGGTTATTACGCTAGCACAGTTTATGCAGTATGTTCAATTCCAACTAAATGCTCCTGGCTATATAAATTGCTTTCAATCACTACTGTCTACTAAATTCAGGTGTACTTGAAATATACTTTATTTGTTTAAGCCGGTATAATGAGATTTTGCTCAGAGAGAGTTGGCAACATTCACAAACGGCAGCTTTTTCTGTCCTATCCTTGTCATTTGTAATTACTGTTTTGATCTGAAAAACATCATAGAGGAAGAATTTTGTGTCAGGTAGTATCTTCAGCCTCTTCCCTTTAACATTCGAGTGCCCTAGTGATATTCTTAATAAACTATAGAAGAGTTTGCAGACCTGATGAGTATAGAA